ACATAGTAACACGCTTACATCTGCTCACTGATAGCTCTGTATCAGTTGTGGTAGCAGGAGTACATTCTCACTCATCTCCTCCTCCTCCTCCTCCCCCTCCCCCTCCTCCTCTCCCCTGGTCTCAGACTAGCAGCAGTCTTCTTGCCTTAACCTTCCAAGTGTTGGAATTGCAGGTGTGAACTATCACGCCCAGCTTTAACCTTGTGTTTGAGGATGCACAGGCCTTTTGGTTGGAGAAGAGTAGGGCTCAGACTAATTACCACACTTCAACCTCAGTGTGAGACAGGAAGCTCCCTTTCCCATCAGTTGCCCCTGCAGATGGGAAAATGCACTGAATAGCGGACTCAGTGATTACTGGTGGGCTGAACTTGTGGAGCACATAGCCATTTCTCCCACGGGGTGGGGGCGGGGCAACCTCTAGCCCTTGGGAAATCTTGAGTGGCGCTTTAGCAGTTGCTCTGCTTCTACGGGGAAAGATGCCTTTCCTCCTACTCCTTTCCAATCAGGGATTTCCTGATTTAAATTTCATATGGAGGGGCTGGAGAGATGGTTCATGGTTAAGAGCACAGCTGCTCTTGCAGAGGATCCAGGTTTGAATCCTAGCACCTACACGGCACTAACAACCATCTGTAACTCCACTTCCAGGGGATCCAACACCTTCTTCTGACCTTTATGGGCACTGCATGACATGGGTGCACTTACACACATGCAGGCAATGCACTCATACATGTGAAATAAAATAAAATAAATCTCACATGGAAACAGCATTCTTGAGAATGTATGAATATGGACAGAAAGAAGCCTACGTTGAAAACAGCAGTGAATTGGCTCCATTTTCCCCCAGATCAGCAGCAGGCAATCAGTGAACACTCACAAAAATGGAGCCTTGACATCCCAGTTGGTGCTGATGTTGGCAGTGCCGTGGTTGCTCAGGGCTCTGATTCCTACCCCGGGCACAAAGGTCAACGAGGCATTTGGCAATGAAAAGGCATTGATTTTTATGCTGTAAAATAAGAGACAGGAGAGTGAGGCCAGTGTTTCTCCACATCTCTAAGTCAAGCAGAATTGGAAAGGCTGGAAGAGAACTCCCTGCCTGGTAGTTGTGAATTTCTGCAGAGGAAGGGCCCTCCCAGCTCTCTAGTGGGGTCTCTGGGCACTCCCTCTGAGTCCCCTCAGCTCAGTATGATGCTCCTGAGATCTTGTTGAGAGGGAAAGTAAGCAAGTTTAGAACTGAATTTGGAAATAGTCACATAATCTACTCCTTGAGTATCTTCTTTCTTTCTTTCTTTCTTTCTTTCTTTCTTTCTTTCTTTCTTTCTTTCTTTCTTTCCTTCTTTGGTTACGTGTGTGTGTGTGTGTGTGTATGTGTATGGTGTATGTGTGTGTGTACATGCTCATGTGTGCACAGAGGCCAGAGGAGGTCATATTCTATCACCCTCTGTCTTATTACCCTGAGATTGGGCCTCTGACTGAACCTGGAGCTAGATAGGTGGCCAGTGAGCCCCAGTGATTTTCCTGTCTCTTCAGGGCTGGTGTTACAGTGACATAAAATCCTGCCAGGCTTTTTATGTGGGTACTTGAGATTTGAACTCAAATTCTCATGCTTTTGCAACAGGTACCCTTACCCACTGAACTATTTCCCCAGCCCCTTGAATTTCTTTAAAGACAAATAGGGTATAAAATTACCATTTATTCCATTTATTGTTTTTTCCTTTCAGCAGTTTTAGTGTTTTTTTAATTTTTGTTTTTGTCTTTTTTGAGACAGGGTTTCCCTGTAGCCCCAGCTGGCCTGGAACTCACTGTGTAGACCAGGCTAACCTCAAACTCACAGAGATCCGCCTGCCTCTACCTCCCCAGTGCTGGGATTACAGGCATGTGTCACCACACCTGGCTCAGTGTTTCTTAAAGGAGGATACTATCAGCATTTTGGATGAAGCTGCTGTTTTTTCAGGGGACTGTCACATACATTTCCAGGCAAGAGGGACATGTCACTTGTAGTCCTCCCTTCCAGTCACTGGGACAGCCCGAAACATACTGTCTTCTTCCTGTTTCCAGAGTGAACCTCTGTGGCTGGCAGCTTCCTTAGCTAAGAAGTTGATTTTCACAGAGTTGGTTTCCTCTAGGAGTCTCTGAGCTGTCAAACAGGTGGCCCCAGGGCTCTGTGAGGGGGGTAGGCTACTTTAAATCTCTGTCGTGAGACATCACATGCACAATGACAAGTTATGGTGAACATGGATTGAGTGATTCTTACCTGCCAGGCCTCCTGGTAGCCACTTTACATACACTAGCTCATTTCAACCCTCCCAATAGTCCTGCGAGGTTCTTGCTGTATTTGATGAGGAGATAAGAAAAGCATCTGAAGTCACACAGAAGTGGTAGAACCAGACCCAGAATCCCCTGCAACCCGACTTCAGACTCCTCTTAGTCACTGGACTGTGTCACTCCATGTGTTGGGCAAAGAGCACTTGACCTGGAGTCAAGGTTTGTACTACTTGGACAATCTTGAGCAAGGCCCTTAACCTCTTTCAGCCAATCATTTAAAAGAAATGCTACTCACAGGGAGACTGGGAAGAGGAAATGAGTTCACCTGTGTTTAATTGCTGCACAGGAGAGAGGTCTGCTCTGAACTGAGACTGGAGAGAATCTACAACATACATGTGGGAGCTGATAAATGAGTCTTTTCTTTCCTATTCATCCTTTCTACCTGTTCTCCACCATATACCCCAAGTCTCACTGTGAATGACAGAGATTCATTTAAAATGTCTGGGTAGTATGGTTATTTGATATGCACAGCTTAGCCCATTCTTTATAACTGCCACAAAGTAGTCCAAGCCATGGACGGTTAAGAATATCCTTCTTGGGGCTGGAAAGATGGGTCAGTGGTTAAGAGCACTGACTGTTCTTGCAGAGGGCCCGAGTTCAGTTCCTAGCATCCACATGGCAGCTAACAACTGTCCATAACTCCAGTTCCTGGGGATCCAACACCCTCTTCTGACCTCCGAGGGTCAGTGCATGATACAGGTGCACCTACATACATTCGGGCAATACACTCATACACATAAAATAAAATAAAAATAGTAAATAAAATATTAAAAAGAACATCCTTCTGTTGGTGGATATCTAGAGTGTTTGTAGTACTTCTGTCTTTGTTGGTTTTTTTTTTTGAGACAGTTTCCCTGTAGCCCCAGTTGGCCTGGAACTCACTGTATAAACGAGGTTGGCCTCTATCTCATGGAGATCTGCCTCCCAAGTGTTGGGACTAAAGGTGTGTGCCACTACACCCAGACTGTTTTATAGACAGTGCCACAGAAAACATCCTCATACATGCTTCATGTGGGCAGGCATTTCTGTAGGGAAGATGGTAAGATGTAGAATTACCTGGTCAAAGAATGTGTGTGTGTGTGTGTGTGTGTGTGTGTGTATGGTTCATACTGATTGGCAATTTTATAGGATCTAGAATCACCCAGAAGACAAACCTCTGTGCATGTCTGTAAGGACATTTCTAGACTTAGCTAACTGAGGTGGGAAGACCCATTGTAAATATGGGTGGCCCCAAACTGAAAAAAAGAAATAAGCCAGGCGTGGTGGTACATGCTTTGATCCCAGTACTCAGGAGGTAGAGGCAGGCAGATTTCTGTGAGATAGAGGCCAGCCTGGTCTACATGGTGAATTTTGGGTCCAGCTTGGGCTACAGGGAGACCCTTCCTCAAAACAAATGAACAAACAAACAAACAAACAAACAAACAAACAACAGGAGCAATGAACGGAGGAGCAGCAGTCAGCTTTCTCTGCTTCCTGACTGTGGATGCAAAGTAACCACCGTGCTTTCCCTGCACTGACAGACTCAAACCATGACTTTTATTTATTAAATGTATTAAAATGTATTAAAATTTTGTTTCTACTTATTTATTTGTGTTCATGTGCACATGTACCATGGAGCACACCAGGAGGTCGGAGGATGATTTTGAGGAGCCAGTTCTCTCTTTCCACCGTGTGGGTTCCAGGACTGAGCTTCATTGTCAGGTTTGGTGGCAAGGATTCTGACCTGCTGAATCATCTTGCCAGACCAAACCTTTTCTTCTTTAAGTTGCTTCTGTCCGGCATTTAATCACGGCAACAACAAAAGTAACTCATACACACATACACAAAGAATGTAGATATGATCTTTGAAAATCACCTTTTGAAATAGGACTTCTCAATAGAAATATAATGTGAGGAATATAAGTAATTTAAAATTCTAGCAAGCATATTTTAAAAAAGAAAAACATAGTTGGTGCCCATTCTATGGTTTGGTTGACACACACTGTTGTGCATATTCATGGCATTCAGTGCCACATTTCAGTCCATGCACACAATGTGTAATGAGCAGGTCAGGGTAATTGACAAATGTATGGGGAAATTAAAAATCTTCTTTACTAGCTATTTTGAGCTATTCAATTAACTGCTATCAACTGTATTTTTTGCACTGTGCTGTGGAGCACTAGAAGTCATTCCTTTGGGGCTAGAGAGATGGCTCAGCAGTTAAGAACACTGGTTGTTTTTGCAGAAGACCCGGGTTTGAATCCCAGTACCCACCCATGGCAGCTAAAAATTGTAACTCCAGTCCCAGGGGATCCAACAGACTCTTCTGACCTCCGCGGGAATTGCATGACACGGGTGCAGTTACCTACATGCAGGCAACACACGCATACACATATAAAATAAAAATAATAAAAATTTTTTAAAAGTTAAAAAAAGAAGTCATTCCTTCTGTCTAACCACCTTCCTCTACCCACTAAGCATCCTATCTCCTTTCATTCCTAGGCTCTGATAGCATTATTCTAGTCTCTCCCATGATATTGTTTATACTTCCACTACAGGTGAGAACATGTGGTATTTGTCTTTCTGTGCCTGACTTCTTTCATTTAACATAATGCCCCTCAGCTTCATCCATATTGTTGCAAATGGCAGAATTTCAGTTTGTGGCTGAATAATATTCTATTGTATACACATACCACATTTTCTTTATCCATTAATCGAGGACACCTAGGATGGTGTAATATTTTGGCTATTAGGAGTAGTGCTGCGATAAACATGTGAACACATGTTCTCCTTAATATACTGATTTACCATCTCCCAAGGAATGGGCTTACAGGTGTGTACCACTATACTGGGCTTGAGATATTTTACTTTCTGTTTTTTCTAAAGTAAGCCTTCAAAACCTGGTATATTTATTATATGCTCATGATATACCACAATTCAGACACTGGATTTCATCAGCAACCCTTGACATGTATTTAGATGTGATAAAATTTTCAGTTGCACAATTAAAAACACTCAAATTGTTTTAAATATACTTAAAATCTTTTCAGTCACTGAATTAAAAGTTACAAAGTTTTGTTTCCATTTTTGCTTTTGAGACAGGGTCTTGTGTATCCTAGGCTGGGGTGGGACTGGCTGTGGAGGATGGCCCTAAACACCTGTTCTTCCTGCCTCACCTCCTTAGTGCTGGGATTACAGGTGTGTGCCACCACACCCAGTTTATGAGCTAGAATCCAGGGCTTTGTGCATGCTAGGCAAGCACTTTACCAACTGAGATACATTCCCAGTTCTGGTTTATTTTTCTGAGACAGGGTCTTACTATGTAACCCTGGTAGTTTTTGATCTTGTAACAATTATCCTGCCTCAGTCTTCCAGGTACTGGAATTACAGACATGCACCCCGATGCCCAACTAAAAGTTAGCCTTCTGAATTACAATTAAGTGGAAAAAAATGTGCTTTCTTTTTTATACAAGTCATATTTCAAATGCTCAGTAACCACAAGTGGTTAGTACTTGAGGTTTATATGGCATGGGCCTATAATGATACTGATTTATACTCCTGCCAGTAGTGCATGAGAGTGCCTGCTTCTCATCTCACCAGCCCTTGTTGTTACACAGGCCTCCTTGTACTTTTCTGCCATTACATTCCCACTGTAGTTAAATAATTAGTTTTTGAACATTATATGTATATATATATGCATATATAATTCCAATCTCTCACAGGATGGTAAAGGCCAGGGGTACCCATGTTATTCACTATAACATTCCCTGTGTCTAGAACAAAGCCTGGTGAACAGCTCACTTCTGCAGATGAGGGGATTCTCAACAACCTTGTTCTGTATTACTGTTTCTCTTTTCCTACAAAAAAAACCTATTGGTTTTATAAAAGCTTATCATTTTCAGCAGGGAAATTACTACTCCAAAGGGTTAGAGCAACAGGGACTTGAAACAGTAGTCAAGGCAAATCGTGAATCACAATGACAGAAAATCTCTTATTGAAAGCGTGGCTCTCCTCCCGCCATTAAGACTGATCTCAAGTTTGGCCAACACATCCTCTCCTTGCACCATTTTCTGGGATCTCATCGGTGACTCTGGAGGAGACTGCTGGTTGCCATCCGGACAACCATTTTCCCTTCCCTAAACATCCCTGGCTGTATGACCAAGACCTGCCCATTGCTGTAAGACAAACCTAAAAAATGAGAAAATTCTCTGAGCTTATAAGAGACCCTTGCTGCTTCTTTCAGCTGCATGAAACATGTACATCTGGTGGTTGGAACTGTAGTAGTGATGTTCGGCCTCGAGGTAACCTTGAGAACAGAAGCAAGAACTTAGATGCTGAAGCAGAAAAAGATAATAAGGTTGGGGCTTCTACTGATTCTTCCATGGTTTCTTTTGTGCTTCTTATAATGTAGGACAACACACTCTACTCACTTTGAAAAGTTGTACTTCACGTAGTCAATCTTCAGAAAGTCAAGAGACTCAGAGCCTTTCAAATCTGGGATGACCATGTCCTTTATCATTTGCTCCATCGTCTTCACTCCAACCTCAACTCCTGTGACGGAAACAGGAAGCACTTGTTGATCATAACAAAAATGACAGTGATGTAATATCCTTAACCCTGCAAGGACAATTACTAAGACCTGGTGCTAGGTAAGCAAACAGCATTCCTACCAAGGGGACATTCTTGTCTTTGATTCACATATGGAATGAGTCCTCAGAGAGCCCAAGGAAGTTGTCCCAGATCACAGGGTTAACATAAGGAGGAGTTTTCATTACATGGCTAGGGCTAAAGAGTTTGATTCCAGGACAGTGTGATGGGAACTGTGCAAAATATTCTTCAAAGGCTGCTGTTGTGGTCATTCAACAGAGCTTACAGATGAGAATATTGTCCCATAGAAGATTAATTTTTGCCCAATCACACAGCTAAGAAAGTGGTGATGGTGATGGTGGGGTGTTGGGGAGCTAGGAGCCAGTTCTGAGCAATTTGGTTCCAGAATTTGTATGTTATAGTCAATCGCATAAAGTTATCCACATTCTTCTTTCTTTCCAGACTTGTTAAACTCACATATTTTGGTCTGAGCTCCAGGGTACTCAAGGAACTATTAAACCCCTTGAAATTTTAATAAAATACTGTGAGTGGGTTGTGTGTAGTTCGTGTCTCATTTTTTTCAGGGGAAAGGATCTATGTTTTCATCTGTTCTTCAAAGGATCCCCACACTTGAGAAAGGTGAGCAGCAACTGTTTGTTTGTCCTGTTACCTTCTTTGTATGGAAGCACTCCAGAATATGTTTCTCTGAGCTCATAGGGGAAAGAGCTTGAGAAAAGTACCTTCCTTTTACTTTTCTCAGAGTAAAACCTGGTGAGTCAACTCAGCAGGTAAAGTCACTTGCCACCAAGCTTGATGACCTGAGTTCGACCCCCAGGCCCCAAAGGATAAAAGGAGAGAACTGACTCCTCCAAGTTGTCATCTGATCTCCACATATGCCCCATGGCAAGTATATACACACACACACACACACACACACACACACACATGCACGTATGCACATATACATACACATATGCACATATATACACACATATATGCACACATATACACACATACACATATACATATACACACGCAAATAAATGCAATAAAAAAATTTAAAAAGTAAGGTAACTTCCACCGTCAATGAAGGAAACTGTCTTTACCCCCGACTTTTCAGTTCAACTTCATTTCCAGTCATTTTATCCCTGTTGGAGAGGAAGAGCAGATGGATACTGTTGTAACCTGGGACATAAAGACAGAATAGAAAGGAAAAGAAGAACCAAGGCGCTATCAAAGAACTCGAGTTTGAATCTCAGCACTGCCACTGACCAGTTTGTGTGACTCCACCTCCATGTCATTCATCCACTTTCCTCATCTGTGACACAGGGATAACAGTAACACGGAGGGGATCTGTTCACACACATGAAAGGAACAGTCACTAATATTTGTTGGGTGTATCCTACCAGCTCCTGTTTCTAATGATTCATATATGTTAACTCACTCATTTCCTACAACAACCAAAAGGTAGGATCTATTATTATTGTTGTCTCTACTTTAGTAAATACCCTGCATATACTACTGATAATGAGCACAAGTAAAACTTTTTCTGTAAAAATACGGAGGCATGCCCTTTGCTTCCTGGACTGCACAGCCTCCAATGTCTTGGTGACAGCACCTTTCCTGGGTAAGTCCAGCATGCCCACCCCACCTTGACTCCCCCAGCCTCTTTCACCCTTCCAGCTCCCCCACAGCATCTCTCCTCCAAGCCTGGGTACTGGCCCATTTCTTGTCTTGGCACCCCAGACACTGGGGCTAACCTCTCCATCCAGAGCCACCATTGCTTCCTGATCCTTTGCACCCAGACCTACCCAGTTCCTCCCAGTAGTCTCCAGGAACCTTAAGGGTCTCTTCCTGTCCCCACCTTCCTTTGCATTCCTGGGTGGCACAGCCACCAGCTTCCTGAGACCAGTGTCTTTCCTGGGCCCTGCTCCCAGGCCAACCCAGCCCCCAAATTCCTGAGGGCAGCATCTTTCCTGGACAGATCCAGACTTTAGAAGAAAGCCTGAGAGCATCTGAGCCTCATCTCACTTGGGCCCCTGTGGGAACTCCTGAAGACAAAAGCAATTAGGCCACTCCAATATAAAATGAAAAGAGACAACCTGAAGCCTAGCACAACTAGCTTTTCATGCCCAACAAGTAAACCAAAAAGGCACATAAAGTTTACAAAAAGAAGCGGATCTAAACTCAACAAAGGAAGGCTGAGTCTCACACAAGAATCAGAAGCTATGAAAGAAATTCACATGTCAAAGTCACAGAGAAAAAATAATAAAATGAAAAATCAAAATAATATATCCCCACCAAGTACCAATAGTCCTCCAGAGGAGTAAAATGAGAACTCCCTAGAGATAACACAGGACATGGAACTCAAAGGAACAATTATAAACATGATAAAAGAATTCGGTGAATTTAAAAAACAAACAAAGAAATCAAAGATCTGAAGGAAGATAGGGATAAACTTCTGAATGAATTCAGAAAAGAGTTAGAAATATTGAAGAATACTCAGGCTGAAATGAAAAAGGAAGTGAAACACTCAGTAAGCCAATTAGAAGCGACAGGAGAAAGCCTCACCAATAGGATGAATGAAATGGAAAACAGAATATCAATACTGGAAGATAAAGTGGGTGAATTAGGCCACTCAAGCAAAGATTATGAAACATTTAAGAAAACACAAGAATGGAATACACAAGAATTGTGTGACACCATAAAAAAAACAAAACTTATGAATCACAGGTATACAAGAAGGAGAAGAATCTCAAGACAATGGTATGGAACAGATCTTCAGCAGGACTGTAGAAGAAAATTCCCCAAAATTAAAGAAAGACATACCCATACAAATACAAGAAGCATATAGAACACCAAATAGACAGGACCAGAAAAGAAACTCTCCACGGCACATCATAGTAAAAACACTAAATGTTCAGAACAAAGAAACAATACTGAAAGGTGCAAAAGAAAAACAACAAGTCACATATAAAGGAAAACCCATCAGGATTACAGCTGATTTATAAGTGCAAACTGTGAAAGCCAGAAGAGCCTGGACCAAAGTAATCCCAGTTCTAAATGACCACAGATGCCAACCCAGATTACTTTACCAAGCCAAAATGTCTATCATAGTTGAAGGGGAAAGAAAAATCTTCCATGACAAAAATAGGCTGAAAGAATTCATGTCCACAAAACCAGCCCTTCAGAGAGTTCTGGAAGCAATATAAAGAGCTGAAGAAAGGAATGACTATACACAAGGGGTTATAGAAAGAAATTCAATGAAGGTGTAACTGTGGAAATGCACATCTATATTAAGAATGTGAACATAAATAAAAATGACAGGATTCAATACACATCTTTCATTAATAACTTTAAATAGAAAAAAGCAGGCATTGCAATTCTAATATCTGACAAAATAGACTTTAAACTAAAACTAATCAGAAGAGATAAAGAGAGTCACTTCATTCTGATCAAAGGAACAACTGACCAAGAACATATTACAATTATGAACATATATTCACCAAACACTGGTGCACCCAAATTCATAAAAACAGCACTACAGGACTTTAAGACCCAGATTAATCCCAACTTATCAATAGTATGGGACTTCATTACCCCATTGTCTCCATTAGACAGGTCAATAGGACAGAGAATAAACAGACATCTGAATTAAACACATCCACATGTGGTGATTTCAATGAAAATGTCCCCCACAGGCTCCAAGTATTTAGACATTTTGTCCCCAGATGGTGGCGCTGTTTTGGGAGGTCTGAGAAAGTGTGGCTACCCTGGATGAAGCACATCACAGGCAGTGGGCTTAGAGAGTTCTAAAGCCTTGCCAGATCCCCAGTTGCACTCTTCCTTCCTGCGCCTACTTGATGATGTGAGAGCTTAACTTCTACTGCTAGTGCTCCTGCTCCAGCCACCATGCCTCCCTTAGAGGAATTCCCTTAGAAACACAAGCTCAAATAAACTCTTCCTTTTATAAGTTGCTTTGGTCACTGTTTCTATCACAGCAACAGAAAAGCGACTAATACACCATACATCAAATGGACCTAACAGACATCTACCAAATATTCCACCCAAGTACCATAGAATATACTTACTATTCAGTGCCCCATGGAACTTTCTCCAAAATCAACCATATAATGGGTCACAAAACAAGCCTCAACAAATACAAAAAGATTGAAATAATTCCATACATGCTATCAGACCACAATGTAATAAAGCTTAAAATCAACACTGAAAGAAACCCTAATAACCACATTAACACATGGAGATTAAACAACACACTCCTGAATGATGAATAGATCAAAGGAAAAATTAAGAAAGAAATAAAAGTATTCCTGGAACTAAACGAAAAGGAAAATACAACACAACAAAACCTCTGGGACATGCTGAAAGCTGTCCTTAAAGGGACATTTATAGCTCTAAGTACCTATATCAAAAAATCAGAAAGAACACAAATAAATGACTTAACATTGCAACTCAAGACACTTGAAAAGCAAAACAAATGAAACT